GTGGTGATGATGGCTATGGCAATGATGGCTATGGTGATGGTGGTGATGGTGGTGATGGTGGTGATGATGGTGATGGTGGTGATGGTGATGATGGTGATGGTAATGGTAATAATGATAATAATGGCTATGGTGATGGCGATGATGGCTATGGTGATGGTGGTGATGATGGCTATGGCGATGATGGTGATGGTGGTGATGGTGGTGATGGTGGTGATGATGGTGATGGTGGTGATGATGGTGATGGTGGTGATGGTGGTGATGGTGGTGATGATAGCTATGGCGATGATGGCTATGGTGATGGTGGTGATGGTGGTGATGGTGGTGATGGTGGTGATGGTGATGGTAATGGTAATAGTGATAATAATGGCTATGGTGATGGCGATGATGGCTATGGTGATGGTGGTGATGATGGCTATGGCGATGATGGCTATGGTGATGGTGGTGATGGTGGTGATGGTGGTGATGGTGGTGATGGTGGTGATGGCTGTGCCCACCTGGAGCCATTCTGACTTCTCCCCCCCAGGCTCCCGCACCTCCTGCCAACACAAACACCGCCACCACCATGCATCACTGTGAGGGCGCGCGTGTCACTGTGCGTGTCACTGTGCGTGTCACTGTGCGTGTCACTGCGCGTGTCACTGTGCGTGTCACTGTGCGCTTGTCACTGTGCGTGTCAGTGTGCGTGTCACTGCGCGTGTCACTGTGTGTTAGTGTGTCACTGCGTGTGTGTGTGCGTGTTAGTGTCACTGTGTGTTAGTGTGTCACTGCGTGTGTCACTGTGTGTTAGTGTGTCACTGTGTGTTAGTGTGTCACTGCGTGTGTCACTGTGTGTTAGTGTGTCACTGTGTGTTAGTGTGTCACTGCGTGTGTCACTGTGTGTTAGTGTGTCACTGCGTGTGTCACTGTGTGTTAGTGTCACTGTGTGTTAGTGTCACTGTGTGTTAGTGTGTCACTGCGTGTGTCACTGTGTGTTAGTGTCACTGTGTGTCACTGTGTGTTAGTGTCACTGTGTGTTAGTGTGTCACTGTGTGTTAGTGTGTCACTGTGTGTTAGTGTCACTGTGTGTTAGTGTGTCACTGTGTGTTAGTGTGTCACTGTGTGTTAGTGTGTCACTGTGTGTGTCACTGTGTGTGTCACTGTGTTAGTGTGTCACTGTGTGTGTCACTGTGTGTTAGTGTGTCACTGTGTGTCACTGTGTGTGTCACTGTGTGTTAGTGTGTCACTGCGTGTGTCACTGTGTGTTAGTGTCACTGTGTGTTAGTGTGTCACTGTGTGTTAGTGTCACTGTGTGTTAGTGTGTCACTGTGTGTTAGTGTGTCACTGTGTGTTAGTGTGTCACTGCGTGTGTCACTGTGTGTTAGTGTGTCACTGCGTGTGTCACTGTGTGTTAGTGTGTCACTGTGTGTTAGTGTGTCACTGCGTGTGTCACTGTGTGTTAGTGTCACTGTGTGTTAGTGTCACTGTGTGTTAGTGTGTCACTGCGTGTGTCACTGCGTGTGTCACTGTGTGTTAGTGTCACTGTGTGTTAGTGTCACTGTGTGTTAGTGTGTCACTGTGTGTTAGTGTGTCACTGCGTGTGTCACTGTGTGTTAGTGTGTCACTGTGTGTTAGTGTGTCACTGCGTGTGTCACTGTGTGTTAGTGTCACTGTGTGTTAGTGTCACTGTGTGTTAGTGTGTCACTGCGTGTGTCACTGTGTGTTAGTGTCACTGTGTGTCACTGTGTGTTAGTGTCACTGTGTGTTAGTGTGTCACTGTGTGTTAGTGTGTCACTGTGTGTTAGTGTGTCACTGTGTGTTAGTGTGTCACTGTGTGTGTCACTGTGTGTGTCACTGTGTTAGTGTGTCACTGTGTGTGTCACTGTGTGTTAGTGTGTCACTGTGTGTCACTGTGTGTCACTGTGTGTTAGTGTGTCACTGCGTGTGTCACTGTGTGTTAGTGTGTCACTGTGTGTTAGTGTCACTGTGTGTTAGTGTGTCACTGTGTTAGTGTCACTGTGTGTTAGTGTGTCACTGCGTGTGTCACTGTGTGTTAGTGTCACTGTGTGTTAGTGTGTCACTGTGTGTTAGTGTCACTGTGTGTTAGTGTGTCACTGTGTGTTAGTGTGTCACTGTGTGTTAGTGTCACTGTGTGTTAGTGTGTCACTGCGTGTGTCACTGTGTGTTAGTGTGTCACTGCGTGTGTCACTGTGTGTTAGTGTCACTGTGTGTTAGTGTCACTGTGTGTTAGTGTCACTGTGTGTTAGTGTGTCACTGTGTGTTAGTGTCACTGCGTGTGTCACTGTGTGTTAGTGTCACTGTGTGTTAGTGTGTCACTGTGTGTTAGTGTGTCACTGTGTGTTAGTGTCACTGTGTGTCACTGTGTGTTAGTGTGTCACTGTGTGTTAGTGTGTCACTGTGTGTTAGTGTGTCACTGTGTGTTAGTGTCACTGTGTGTTAGTGTCACTGTGTGTGTCACTGTGTGTTAGTGTCACTGTGTGTGTGTGCGTGTGTTAGTGTCACTGTGTGTTAGTGTGTCACTGCGTGTCACTGTGTGTTAGTGTCACTGTGTGTTAGTGTGTCACTGCGTGTCACTGTGTGTTAGTGTCACTGTGTGTTAGTGTGTCACTGCGTGTGTCACTGTGTGTTAGTGTCACTGTGTGTTAGTGTGTCACTGTGTGTTAGTGTCACTGTGTGTTAGTGTGTCACTGTGTGTTAGTGTCACTGTGTGTTAGTGTGTCACTGCGTGTGTCACTGTGTGTTAGTGTCACTGTGTGTTAGTGTCACTGTGTGTTAGTGTGTCACTGTGTGTTAGTGTGTCACTGTGTGTTAGTGTGTCACTGTGTTAGTGTCACTGCGTGTGTCACTGTGTGTTAGTGTGTCACTGTGTGTTAGTGTGTCACTGTGTGTTAGTGTGTCACTGTGTGTTAGTGTGTCACTGTGTGTTAGTGTGTCACTGTGTGTTAGTGTCACTGTGTGTGTCACTGTGTGTTAGTGTCACTGTGCGTGTGTGCGTGTGTTAGTGTCACTGTGTGTTAGTGTGTCACTGCGTGTCACTGTGTGTTAGTGTCACTGTGTGTTAGTGTGTCACTGTGTTAGTGTGTCACTGTGTGTTAGTGTCACTGTGTGTTAGTGTGTCACTGTGTGTTAGTGTGTCACTGTGTGTTAGTGTCACTGTGTGTTAGTGTGTCACTGTGTGTTAGTGTGTAACTGTGTTAGTGTCACTGCGTGTGTCACTGTGTGTTAGTGTGTCACTGTGTGTTAGTGTGTCACTGTGTGTTAGTGTCACTGTGTGTCACTGTGTGTTAGTGTGTCACTGTGTGTTAGTGTGTCACTGTGTGTTAGTGTGTGTTAGTGTCACTGTGTGTTAGTGTGTCACTGTGTGTTAGTGTCACTGTGTGTTAGTGTCACTGTGTGTTAGTGTCACTGTGTGTTAGTGTGTCACTGTGTGTTAGTGTCACTGTGTGTTAGTGTCACTGTGTGTGTCACTGTGTGTTAGTGTCACTGTGTGTGTGTGCGTGTGTTAGTGTCACTGTGTGTTAGTGTGTCACTGCGTGTCACTGTGTGTTAGTGTCACTGTGTGTTAGTGTCACTGTGTGTTAGTGTGTCACTGTGTGTGTGTGTTAGTGTGTCACTGTGTGTTAGTGTGTCACTGTGTGTTAGTGTGTCACTGTGTGTTAGTGTCACTGTGTGTTAGTGTGTCACTGTGTGTTAGTGTCACTGTGTGTTAGTGTGTCACTGTGTGTTAGTGTCACTGTGTGTTAGTGTGTCACTGTGTGTTAGTGTGTCACTGTGTGTTAGTGTCACTGTGTGTTAGTGTGTCACTGTGTGTGTCACTGTGTGTTAGTGTCACTGTGTGTTAGTGTCACTGTGTGTTAGTGTGTCACTGTGTGTTAGTGTCACTGTGTGTTAGTGTCACTGTGTGTGTCACTGTGTGTTAGTGTCACTGTGTGTTAGTGTGTCACTGTGTGTTAGTGTGTCACTGTGTGTTAGTGTCACTGTGTGTTAGTGTGTCACTGTGTGTTAGTGTGTCACTGTGTGTTAGTGTGTCACTGTGTGTTAGTGTCACTGTGTGTTAGTGTGTCACTGTGTGTTAGTGTCACTGTGTGTTAGTGTCACTGTGTGTGTCACTGTGTGTTAGTGTCACTGTGTGTTAGTGTGTCACTGTGTGTTAGTGTGTCACTGTGTGTTAGTGTCACTGTGTGTTAGTGTGTCACTGTGTGTTAGTGTGTCACTGTGTGTTAGTGTCACTGTGTGTGTGTGCGTGTGTTAGTGTCACTGTGTGTTAGTGTCACTGTGTGTTAGTGTCACTGTGTGTTAGTGTGTCACTGCGTGCGTCACCGTGAGTGCATGCCGGATGACGTGTGCTGCGTGCCGCAGCGTCTCCTCCAGCTGGCGCCGTGCCGCTCGCTCGCTCGCCGCCTCCTCCTGCAGGGCGCCCGCCCGCGACTCCCAGCGCTGCAGCTCCTCGCTCGCAACACCCAGCTGCTGCCTGGCACGGGGGCAGTGACGGTGGTGGTGGTAGTAGGGCAAGTTGCTGAGTGAGTGTACGTGCGGGCATCATGGGTGGTGTGAGTGGTGGTGGTGGTGGTGCGAGTTGTGGTGGTGGTGTGAGTGGTGGCGGTGGTGTGATTGGTGGCGGTGGTGGTGCGAGTTGTGGTGGTGGTGTGAGTGATGTGAGTGGTGGTGGTGGTGTGAGTGGTGGTGGTGGTGGTGGTGTAAGTGGTGGTGGTGTGAGTGGTGGTGGTGTGAGTGGTGGTGGTGTGAGTGGTGGTGGTGGTGTGAGTGGTGGTGGTGTGAGTGGTGGTGGTGGTGTGAGTGGTGGTGGTGGTGGTGCGAGTGGTGGTGGTGGTGTGAGTGGCGGTGGTGCGAGTGGTGGTGGTGTGAGTGGTGGCAGCGGGGGGTGGTGGTTTTGGAGGTGTGAGTAGTGTGAGTTGTGGTGCGAGTGGTGGTGGCGTGAGTGGTGGTAGTGGTGTAGGGAACCTGTTTGCGAGCTCCTGTTCCCTGGCGACAGCAAGCGCCGCCTGCAGCTCTTGCTGCTGCTGCAGTTGCTCCTCTTGAAGCTGCAGCTGCTCCTGCAGCTGGTGGCAGCGCTGAGTCAGCATCTCAATCACCTTCATACACACAAAAGACAGATTCCCCCTTGTAGCCTAAACAGACTGTTCGGGCAAATGTTGTTAGGGAGCACCTATCAATTCCGGCATGGCACACGAGGGGGTGGGTGGCCAGCATCACACGCCCGGCTACATCTGTCTCCCCACTGGTGATAAAAGGAACTCATTTAAGGCTGAGTCGTTCTACGCGAGGCCCAGGACTGGTTCAGAAAATCGTCGCCGGTGTTGGCCGCGAGCGGGAACCGAACTCACGTTGCCGGGTTCGTAGTGCAGTGCTAACCGTCACTCGCCACTAAGTGACGGGGACGTGACCACGGTGCCTGTGCCAGGCCAGGTACACTTTGAGGCAGAGGAGGTCACGTGACAGACCCAGGTGCAATGGCTTGGCTGACTGCACCAGCTGTACCCCCGACTGTGCCAACTTGCTGCATCTTAGCCACCGGGCACTCCGCTCATTGTTTTTGAGTGTTGCTCCTCTGCCCCTCCATTGTTAGAGGGCGACTGCCTCCAACTGCCCAGTGGCAGCGTCCTTCACGAACCTCCTCCAACAAGGCCGATCTTGACAGTGCTGGTACCAGTCTTCGGCAAGTCCACTCAGCTCCACATCCTCATGTACCGCATCAGCTCCATCTCTTCTCTAGCCCGTGCCACGCCCGTTTAGCCCCCTTTATCAGGCCAAACAGAAGCTGCTTGGGCATGCGGTGGCTGGGCATGCGAGCTACATGACCCAGCCAACGCAGCCTTGCCTGCCGGAGGCGCTCACTGATGGGACTGTGTCCAGATCTTTAAAGGATTTGTGAGCTCCTCACACAATCCAGTCTGGTTAAACCCAGGATGGATTGTAGGATGGCAACCTGAATGTTTTTAAACGGTGCAGATGTTCCATTAGAGGGGTCCACATTTCACAAGCATAGAGAAGCGAAGGCATGACTGTGGCTGAGAAGACCTGAAGCTTCGTGCGGAGTGACAGACCAGGTAGCTTCCACACAGCATTGCACAGCCGATTAAAAGATAATTCCGCTCGACTGATTCAGAGTGAGACCTCTGTTGCCAAACCGGAGCTGGTCATAAGCACACTGCCCAGGTATGGGAAACTCTCCACTCTCTCCACAACTGCTCCATCACCAATGGGGAGCTGTGGGGGTGGAGTGTCCGATGGTGCAAAATACCCAGGAAGGTGCTTAGTTTTGGTGGGGCTGATGGTAAGACCCCACCTCTTAGTGGCACACTCCAGGTTCAGCAGCAGCGCCTCCAACTCCTCCTCTGAGCCAGCAACAATTACCAGATCAGTATACATGCCATGGTTGGTCAATAGGGAGCCATCCCTCGACTGCACCCAGGCATCGATCAGCCTCCCATTGTATCTGTACCAGATGTAACTGTCCTCAGGTAAAGCCATGAAAAGCTTCTTGAACTACGTGGTCAAAGATGATGAATAATGTGGGAGCCAGAGGACATCCCTGTCGCACCCCAAGGTGAACAGGGAATGGCTCAGACTCCTGGCTACGTAGTTTTACCTGGGCCTGCCCGCCATCACAAAGGCCCTTGTGAGTGGAGAGTCAGAGACTCCGAAAGCACGAAGCACAACCCAGAGCATTGGCCTGTTGATGGTATCATAGGCCTTGACCAGGTCAAAAAAGCTGAGATGTAGGTCTTGCTGTAGCAGACGGACAGATAAAATGGCATCTGTGCAGGACCACCCTGGACTGAAACCACATTGGGGCTCCACAAGTCTCTCTTCAGTGTGTCTGGCAAGGGAGCGATGTTCAATAATTCTTTCCAAGACCTTTCCCGGTACCCACATACACAACAAAGACAAAGATCCCCCATATAGCCTTAACAGACTGTAGAGGCAAGTGCTGTTAGCGAGCACCTATGAAGGCCGGAACGGTAGACGAGGAGGTGGGTGGCCAGCACCACGCCCGACCGCCTTTGTCTCCCTAGTGGCGATGTTTACACACTGCACCAGGTACTCATTTGAGGCTGAGTCGACCTAGGGGAGGCCCGGGACTGGTTCAGATAATCGACACTGGTGTTGGCCGTGAGCGGGAATCGAACCCGGGTCACCAGGTTCATAGTGCAGCGTGCTAACCGCTACACTACCGCTCCCCACACACCCACATACACACACACTCACCCACACACTCTCACACACCCACTCCCACACACACCCACTCACTCACACACTCACCCACACACTACCACACACACTACCACACACACTCACCCACACACCCACATACACACACACACACTCCCACACACCCACTCCCACACACACCCACTCACACACTCACCCACACACTACCACACACACTACCACACACCCACTCCCACACACCCACATACACACACACTCACCCACACACTACCACACACACTACCACAACAACAACAACCGCCATTCGCCACTAAGTGGCGGTGACGTCACCACGACGCTTGTGCCAGGCTATGTGCACCCTGAGGCCACGTGAAGTGTCGAACGCCCGCCGGCAGGAGGTCACGGGGCAGACGCAGGTGCCACGGGTCGACTGACTGAGATGACTGGCTGATGCACCACCTGTGCCCCCTACTGTGCCAACCTGCTGTGCTTTAGCCACCCGGCGCTCCGCTCGTTGTTCTGAGCGTCGCTCCTCCGTCCTCCGTTCTTGTTGGAGGGCGACTGCCTCCAACTGCCCAGTAGCATCCTTCACGAGCCTCCTCCACAGAGGCCGATCTTGACACCGCTGGTACCAGTCATCGGCAAGTCCACTCAGCTCCACGTCCTCCTGTACCACATCACTCCATCTCTTCTCTAGCCCGTGCCGCGCCCACTTTGCCCCCTCAATCCGGCCAAACAAAAGCTGTTTCGGCATGCGGTGGCTGGGCATGCGGGCTACATGACCCAGCCATCGCAGCCTTGCCTGCCGGAGGAGCTCACCAATGGGACCCTGCCCAGATCTTTCAAGGATTTGTGAGCTCCTCACACAATCCAGTCTGGTTAAACCCAGGATGGATCGTAGGCAGGCCAGCCTAAATGTTTCTAACCGGCGAAGATGTTCCATTAGGGGGGTCCACGTTTCGCAAGCGTAGAGAAGGGAGGGAATGACCGTGGCCGAGAAGACCTGAAGCTTAGTGCGGAGCGACAGACCAGGTAGCTTCCACACAGCGTTACGCAACCGATGAAAAGATATTGCCGCTCGACTGATTCGGAGTGAGACCTCTGCTGTTAAACTGGAGCCAGTCATAAGCACACTGCCCAGGTATGGGAAACTCTCCACTCTCTCCACAACTGCCCCATCACCGATTGGGAGTTGTGGGGGTGGAGTGTCCGATGGTACAAAATACCCAGGCAGGTGCTTAGTTTTGGTGGGGCTGATGGTAAGGCCCCACCTCTTAGTGGCATGCTCCAGTCTCAGCAGCAGCGTCTCCAACTCCTCCTCTGACTGAGCAGCTATTACCAAATCATCAGCATACATAACGTGGTTGAGCAATAGGGAGCCATCCCTTGACCGCACCCGGGCATCGATTAGCCTCCCATTATATCTGTACCATATGGAGATTCCGCCGGTACAGCTATTGAAGGCTTCACGAACTACGTGGTCAAAATAGATGTTAAATAATGTGGGAGCCAGAGGACATCCCTGTCGCACCCCAAGGTGTACAGGGAATGGCTCTGACTCCCGGCCACGTAGTTTTACCCGGGCCCGCTCACCATCATGAAGGTCCTTAATGATCGTGAGCAGAGGGTCAGGTACTCCAAAAGCACGAAGAACGACCCAGAGCCCAGGCCTACTGATGGTATCATAGGCCTTGACCAGGTCAATAAAGCAGAGATGTAGGTCTTGTTGGAATTCCCTACACCTCTGCTGTAGCAGACGGACAGAAAATATGGCATCTGTGCAGGACCGCCCTTTCCTGAAACCGCATTGGGGCTCCAGCAAGCCTCTCCTCAGCGTGCCTGGCAAGGCGATGCTGAATAATCCTTGCCAGGACCTTTCCCGACACACTGAGGAGTGAGATGCCCCTGTAGTTGTTACAGTCTGTGCGGTCCCCCTTCTTAAAAAGGGGGACCACCAGGGCATCCTTCCAATCCTGCAGAACCCGTCCAGTGGTCCAGACTGTTGTTATGATGTCATAAAGGGCAGTCTGTGCACAAACGCCACCCTCCCTCAGCATTTCGCTTGGGAGATCATCTCTGCCCGCTGCCTTTCCTGGTCTCAGACTCTGGATCGCCTTCAATACTTCCTCAGCAGATGGCACCTCAGCCAGCCACTCACAGGGGGTGACTTCTTCCAATATTTGAGGCACCGCAGCCTCAGCAGGGTCATCCTCACTTTGTTCCACGATGTTTTCCTGGCTGAGGGATTTTCCCTCCCCCAGGACCTCACAGAAATGCTCAGCAAATCTGCGAACCTGTTCCTGGGGGTCGGAGATTGGATCACCGTTTTTTCCCCTAATGATGGTAATAGGTGTGGCGCTGCAGGTTACTTTTTTGATGGAGTTAAATAGAGATTTGTGATCACGGGCCACTGAGGCAGACTCCATCTCCTCAGCAACCCGCGACCACCACCCATCCTTGCAGCGCCTCACGGCTCTCCGAACCTCCGAGCGAAGGCTGCGGTAAGCCTCCTCATTCTCTGACGTGGGATTCTGTAGCCGATGACAGTGGGCCTGTCGCTTTTTCTCAACCATCCTGAACACCTCCTCTGTCATCCAGGGTGTCTGGAGAGGTCTGGACCGCGTACCCAAAGCAGCCATTGCAGCTGCATGAGTCACAGTCCTAAACCTCGACCATTTACACTCGTCATCAGGAGGAGTCGGGGACGATGCCAATCCCAGCCGCAAGCGATGATAAAATTCTCGCTTGCAACTTTCATCAGATAACTGAGACCAGGCCACTTCATGTTGGAATGGGGTCCTGGGTGTACACCCTCCCCCGGAGTGGAAGAATGGCAGGCGCATCTTACAGATGACTAGTCGATGGTCAGAGGGCAGATCAGCTCCACTGTAGGTCCTGGTGTCAAGGACATGGGCTCGCATTTGCTGGTCCGTCACTATGTAGTCCAGCAGATGTTCTTGCTTGGACCCGGCATGCATCCATGATGTTGTGTGGATGCGCCGATGCCGGAACAGCGTGTTGGTAATTACAAGCCCATGGGCTGCACAAAAATCTAGCAGCCTCCTACCGTTGGTATTGAGCTGATCTGGCCCATGCCCTCCAATCACTCCAGACCAGGTGCCAGTATCATGACCAACTCGGGCATTGAAGTCACCCAACATGATGACTCTATCCCGAGGGGCCACTTTAGCCAGCACCTGTGACAGGAGGTCATAGAAGGCATCTGACTCATCGGCTTTGCCTGCATCCCTCCACGGATGTTCATCTTCGGTGGGGGCATAAGCAATCACGACCACCACTCCTCGCCTCCGGTTGATGGGAAGGCGAGCCCAAAGTAGCCTGGGGCTTACAGCTTCCCACACCTCACCGCCACGCTCCCACGCCCCCTTCATTCTTTTGTTCAAAAGAAGACCCACACCCTGTTGTTTGGCAGTCTGCTGTCCCGAGTAGAGGACTGTCCACCCCTCATGATGGCAGGTGCCAGAGCCGGTCCACCGGACTTCCTGAATGCCGCATAGATCCAGGCGGTACCGGTCCAGCTCCCGACAGAGGAGTGGCAGCCTCTCCTCTGCAGTGAGCGTTCGAACATTCCACGTGGCCACCCGTAGTGGCTTTTCGTTGTTTCTGGAGTAGCCCCGAGGGTAGGTATTCAATCTCCTGGCTCCGCCAATTGGGGTTTGGCCAGGAGACGTCATAGACGCCTGGCCCCCCGGGGCCTCCGGCACAAGCTTATTTGTTACATATTTCAGTTTAATTCGTGGTTTCGTGGTAATTAATTGAAGGTGAAGGGGTTACCAGCCCCTCGCACCCGTCCAGAGCCCCCGTTTAGCCACACACTACCACACACACTCACCCACACACCCACATACACACCGATACACCCACACATCCACACACCCACAAACACCACCCCACACAGCCACTCGCCCACACACACACACGAGTTTGGAGCAGGATTCCCCCCCCCCCACCACCTCTTCCCCCCCACCTCCCACCTTGCGTTTGCCGGCGCTAGCTCGCGCCAGCTCCTCCTGCTCGTCGAGCGAGAGCTGCAGGCGCCGGGCGAGGCTGTCCCCACGCTCGCGAGCCTCCCGGCCCGCCACCTCCTCGTGCGCGGCGCTGCTGGCGGCTCGCCGTAGCTGCGCCGCGCAGCTGACGGTGTCGCGCAGCGCCCGGCGCGTCGTCTCCGCCATCTGGCGCGTGGAAGCGCGGCGGAACTCGGAGGCCACGCAGTTGACGCGCGACACCATCTCCTTCTTGAGCCTGCGAGGGCGGGAGTGGCTGGGTGAGTGGCTGGGTGAGCGAGTGAGTGGGTCAGCAAAAGAGTGGCTGGGTGAGTGAGTGGCTGTGTGATTGGCTGGGTCAGCAAGTGAGTGGCTCGGTGAGTGCCTGGATAAGTGGCTTGGCTGAGCGAGTGAGTGGCTGCGTGAGTGAGTTAGTGGGTGTCTGGGTGGTGGCTGTGTGAGTGAGTGAGTGGCTGGGTGAGTGGGTGAGTGGCTGGGTGAGCGAGTGGCTGGGTGAGTGGGTGAGTGGCTGGGTGAGTAAGTGGCTGGGTGAGTGAGTGGGTGTCTTGGTGAGTGGCTGGGTGAGTGAGTGGGTGGCTGGGTGAGTGAGTGGCTGGGTGAGTGGCTGGGTGAGTGAGTGGCTGAGTGATTGGCTGGGTCAGCAGGTGAGTGGCTGGGTGAGTGGCTGGGTGAGTGAGTACCTGGATGAGTGACTGGGTGAACGAGTGAGTGGCTGGGTGAGTGAGTGAGTGGTTGTCTGGGTGTGTGAGTGAGTGGCTGGGTGAGTGGGTGATTGGCTGGGTTAGCAAGTGAGTGGCTGGGTGAGTGAGCGAGTGAGTGGGTGAGCGAGCGAGTGTCTGAGTGAGCGAATGAGTGGGTGAACCAGTGTCTGTATGAGCGAGTGAGTGGGTGAGCGAGTGAGTGGGTGAGCGAGTGAGTGGGTGAGCGACCGAGTGTCTGAGTGAGCGAATGAGTGGGTGAGCCAGTGTCTGTATGAGCGAGTGAGTGGGTGAGCGAGTGAGTGGGTGAGTGGGTGAGCGAGTGAGTGGGTGAGCAAGCGAGTGTGTGGGTCAGTGGGTGAGCAGGTGATCCGAGTCTCAGTCGACCCGTGGCATCTGGGTCTGCCCCGTGACCTGCCAGCGGGCGTTCGACACCTCATGTGGCTGCAAGGTGCACATAGCCTGGCACAAGCGTCGTGGTGACGTCACCGCCACTTAATGGCGAACGGCGGTTGTTGTTGAGTGTGTGGGTGAGCGATCGAGTGTGTGGGTGAGCGAGTGTGTGGGTGAGCGAGTGAGTGAGTGTGTGGGTGAGTGAGTGAGTGAGGGTGTGGGTGAGTGAGTGAGTGTGTGGGTGAGCAAGTGAGTGAGTAAGTGGTTGAGCGAAGTAAGTGTGTGGGTGAGCGAGTGAGTGAGTGTGTGGGTGAGCGAGTGAGTGAGTGTGTGGGTAAGCGAGTGAGTGAGTGTGTGGGTGAGCGAGTGAGTGAGTGTGTGGGTGAGCGAGTGTGTGGGTTAGCGAGTGAGTGAGTGTGTGGGTTAGCGAGTGAGTGTGTGGGTGAGTGAGTGAGTGTGTGAGTGAGCGAGTGTGTGGGTGAGCGAGTGAGTGAGTGTGTGGGTGAGCGAGTGAGTGTGTGGGTGAGTGAGTGAGTGTGTGAGTGAGCGAGTGTGTGGGTGAGCGAGTGAGTGAGTGTGTGGGTGAGCGAGCGAGTCTGTGGGTGAGCGAGCGAGCGAGTGAGCGCCACCTGTCCCGCTGGATGACGGAGTGGCGCTCCAGCGAGTAAATCTCCTCTTTGTGCTCATCCTCGCAGCGCTGCAGCTCCGCCTCCAGCGCCGCAAACTTCTCCAGGAGCTCCTCCTTCTGGACGCGGAACTCCTCCAGAGAGGCCAGCTTGCCTGCTACTCACACACACAGAGACACACAGAGACACAGAGAGACACAGAGACACAGAGTGACAGCTTGCCTGCTACTCACACACACAGAGACACAGAGAGACAGCTTGCCTGCTACTCACACACACAGAGACACACAGAGACACAGAGAGACACAGAGACACAGAGTGACAGCTTGCCTGCTACTCACACACACAGAGACACAGAGAGGCCAGCTTGCCTGCTACTCACACACACAGAGACACACAGAGACACAGAGAGACACAGAGACACAGAGAGACAGCTTGCCTGCTACTCACACACACAGAGACACAGAGAGACCAGCTTGCCTGCTACTCACACACACAGAGACACAGAGAGACAGCTTGCCTGCTACTCACACACACAGAGACACAGAGAGACAGCTTGCCTGCTACTCTCACACACAGAGACACAGAGAGACAGCTTGCCTGCTACTCACACACACAGAGACACAGAGAGACAGCTTGCCTGCTACTCACACACACAGAGACACAGAGAGACAGCTTGCCTGCTACTCACACACACAGAGACACAGAGAGACAGCTTGCCTGCTACTCACACACACAGAGACACAGAGAGACAGCTTGCCTGCTACTCACACACACAGAGACACAGAGAGACAGCTTGCCTGCTACTCACACACACAGAGACACAGAGAGACAGCTTGCCTGCTACTCACACACACAGAGACACAGAGAGACAGCTTGCCTGCTACTCACACACACAGAGACACAGAGAGACAGCTTGCCTGCTACTCACACACACAGAGACACAGAGAGACAGCTTGCCTGCTACTCACACACACAGAGACACAGAGAGACAGCTTGCCTGCTACTCACACACACAGAGACACAGAGAGACAGCTTGCCTGCTACTCACACACACAGAGACACAGAGAGACAGCTTGCCTGCTACTCACACACACAGAGACACAGAGAGACAGCTTGCCTGCTACTCACACACACAGAGACACAGAGAGACAGCTTGCCTGCTACTCACACACACAGAGACACAGAGAGACAGCTTGCCTGCTACTCACACACACAGAGACACAGAGAGACAGCTTGCCTGCTACTCTCACACACACAGAGACACAGAGAGACAGCTTGCCTGCTACTCACACACACAGAGACACAGAGAGACAGCTTGCCTGCTACTCACACACACAGAGACACAGAGAGACAGCTTGCCTGCTACTCACACACACAGAGACACAGAGAGACAGCTTGCCTGCTACTCACACACACAGAGACACAGAGAGACAGCTTGCCTGCTACTCACACACACAGAGACACAGAGAGACAGCTTGCCTGCTACTCACACACACAGAGACACAGAGAGACAGCTTGCCTGCTACTCACACACACAGAGACACAGAGAGACAGCTTGCCTGCTACTCACACACACAGAGACACAGAGAGACAGCTTGCCTGCTACTCACACACACAGAGACACAGAGAGACAGCTTGCCTGCTACTCACACACACAGAGACACAGAGAGACAGCTTGCCTGCTACTCACACACACAGAGACACAGAGAGACAGCTTGCCTGCTACTCACACACACAGAGACACAGAGAGACAGCTTGCCTGCTACTCACACACACAGAGACACAGAGAGACAGCTTGCCTGCTACTCACACACACAGAGACACAGAGAGACAGCTTGCCTGCTACTCTCACACACAGAGACACAGAGAGACAGCTTGCCTGCTACTCACACACACAGAGACACAGAGAGACAGCTTGCCTGCTACTCACACACACAGAGACACAGAGAGACAGCTTGCCTGCTACTCACACACACAGAGACACAGAGAGACAGCTTGCCTGCTACTCACACACACAGAGACACAGAGAGACAGCTTGCCTGCTACTCACACACACAGAGACAC